ACCACTACTACATTAGAGATATTTTCTGGTAATAACAGACAAGTAAATCACGAATCATATCTTCTAATACTTCATGCACGTGATATGAGAAGGCAATTCAAAGATCATTACATAACCGTAATCAGCAATCCAACAAGTAGACCAACAACGATATCTAGGTTCATCTCGCAAAGTTGCGAGGAATTTCAACAAGTAGTGTGTAAGAGCAGTAGTGTATCCGTACGGGAACAGAAACCATCACGACAACCTAGCAGCTTTCTCAAAACCATCCAAGCGAGCAAAATGGGATCGTATTTTTTCATTGAGGGCAGACATCAGCTAAAATTGGCACTCTTGGTATGTAGTTACAAAAAAGGAGTGAAATAATTTTGTGGTACTCACAGCCGTTTCCTTGCATTTCATCCCCAAATCTAGCAAATCATTAATGGCGCTAATTGGCAACCAAACTCTAGAGTCGATTGACGTCACCTTAAAGCTATGTTTTATTTGTAAAATATGACCATAAAAAACAAATAGAAGCAAGGCATTTGACAATTCACCTTCTTTGTCTCCTCTTCTACACAGTTTGCTGCCACCTTTAGACCTTGCTTAACAGCACCGTAGTCAATAAGACACCGCAGATAACCGTTAACATCCTTCTCCTGCAACCACTCTGTGATAGACTTTTACATCTCAAAAGGCATTAACTTTCAAACCGTATACTCTGCATCAAGCCAACAAGGCACAGGGACATTATGACTGAGAAATGCGCGAGTGATTGCGCGTAATGGGCGTGAATCATTCGGCCAGATTCGTTGAGCAGCTGCTAACAATCCTCGTACAATGGCCCAGTGACCTCTGTAAACAGAAACAGCAACCCATTTATGCTGAGAAAAGTGTCAGCAGAAATATAGCGACAAAAAGAACACTACCTAAGACGTTTTTCTGCCCTCCGTTGATTCAACTGCACCCAAGCTGGAGGAGCCTCTGGTGGATCTGCGTCTACCATAATTGCTTCTCGAGTGACGGCATACAGAACGTCGCATATAGAGACGTCACAGTGTCTAGAATGAATGAATGAAGTAGAAAACACTTGCTCATAGTAGAAGTAACGCATTTTGATGTCAAATATGAGGTAAAAATGAAGAGAAAATCCCCCTCCAAAAAAGTGGAGCTTTACGCACCTGCACACATCAAATGCAACATCGTAGTTCTTGATTTCTATCAGACTGTCCACTATTTCCTTTGGCTCAGTTGGTGGAACTTTACCTGTGGATAATAACGCCACACGAGCATTTGCAATTACCCACTCCTCGCACAGTCTACAAAGGAAAAAGCGCATCTCTGTGATAGAATTTCATACATGGAAAACGCACTTTTCTGCTGAGAGTATAAACATTCTCTTGCGAACAGCCGTCCGCTTCGGCACCTCCATATTCAGTTCATCTGCGATGACATCACCCATCGCAGCATCTATCATCTCCTGTGTGATATCCGTAGAAGATGCAACGACTTCATCTCCATCAATTTCTTCGTCGAGCTGAATTTTGTAGACTGCTTGATTTTTAAAAATACTCGGGTTTCTTAGTACCTCATGCGGAAACGACAAAAAGCGATCCTCTATGGGTAAAAGGTCCAACAGCGTAGAAGCAACTGCTAAAGCGTCTCGTCGTCTGAGCAGGAGGTCAGGCGTCTGTTCAGCTTGTGTGCGTAAAACGAAAGCGTACTCATACTGAGCTCGTGCTGCTGAAATTCGCAAGTTGTAACGTGACTGGACTTCAACAGGCAATCTTACGTATAACATGAAGAAAGAAATCGGTCTCTTTTAACCGCCTTCCAAATATAAATCTGTCAAACTCTTACATCCTTCCCCCTCCTCCCACGCACCCTGCAAAAATTGAGGAAACCCTTGAGTTCTTTCAAGAATTTTTCAATCAGAGCGGAACAGGTGCACTAACATTATGAACAAAATTAAAGCGATGCTAATAACTGAATTACTCGTGTGCGCGTTTGTACCAGCATGGCTAAAAGCTTATTTTCATACCACC